ATGTAATACATTCAACAATAAAGGTTAAAAGGAAAAAAAGAAAAAGAAGTAGAGAAATGAAGTTACCTATGGTTCCATCACCCATAAAGAACTATTGCTTACATTTTAATGTCTTTCTTTCTCATCTTTTTTATTTGTATTTAATTTCTTTGTATGTAATTTCCCCCCCCACACTTATTATAAAATATCCTATAAGCTCTTCTTAAACATGATTTAAAAACAATAGCTGAATAATAGTCTCTTGTAGATGATACATACTTTATAATTTATTTCACTAATTTCTACTCTTATAATACTGGGATAATCATTTTTGACATAAATCTGTGGTTATTGTCTATTTTCTTGATTTTATTTCTTAGATGTAGAATTATTAACTCAAATGGTATATATTTGCTTTATAATGTATACCACATAAATATTTCCTAAAAATATATGAAAAGTGAGCAAGACTACTGAGAATCAAAGAAATACAAGTAATGAGATAACACTCATAATGTCAAAGACTTAAAAGATTGACAATGCCCAATGTTGATGAAGATGAGGGGATATGTGTTCTTTTATAGATATGTTGGTAAGAAAACAAATAGGCCATTTAAAAGTATATATACAAATAATGCATGAAAACATTCTTTTTTTGTTGTTGCTAATCCTCACCCGAGGATATTTTTCCATTGAACTTTTAGGGAGAGTGGAAGGGAGGGGGGAAACAGAGGGAGAGAGAAACATCGATGTGAGAAAGACACATCGATTGGTTGCCTCCCGCATACACCCCAACCAGGCCTGGGGATCGAGCCTGCAACCAAAATATGTGCCCTTGTCCAGAATCAACCCGGGACCCTTCAGTCTGTGGGCCGATGTTCTATCCGCTGAGCCAAACCAGCTAGGGCATGAAAACATTCTTCTAAAAATTCAATTAATACAGAAATATGCAGAGTAAAAATGGAAAGTTCTTCATCAGTCCCTCATCCTCACTCCCAAACAGTTGGTACATTTCTGGAGGGCATTTGGGCAACAAACAAAATGTTTAACATCTGCCTAGTCTTTGACTCAGAATTTCCTCTTCTAGAAAGAAATCCTAAGGAAATGATAGGATAAGTTCCCACAGAGGTAGATAGAGAAGTGTTCCTCTCAATATGACTCTTACTCGTAAGAACAGCTAACAGTTATCAGCCACTTACTAGGTGTCAAGAACTATTCTAAAAACCTAACATCCGTTAACTCATTGGCTCCTCACAGAAACCCTGTGATATGGTAGGTATTATGGTCATTCCCATTTTATTGATGAGAACGCTGAGGTCCAGAGAGGCCACAAAGCTAGTAAGTGGCCCTAAGGAATCAAGTGTAGGCAACCTGACTCAGAGGCCCACACTCTCAATCTTCATGCTATGCTGCCTCTACTGCTATAATAGTGAAATCACAGGAACAAATCTATCAAAGGGACTTTATTTAATCAATTAGGGTACATCCATGCAATGCAATCTCATCAGCTTTCACAATGATGATGTAGATTGATTTTCATTGACATGAAAGAGGAAAAAGTGAAGCTATAGAACTATGTATCTATAATTCCATATTTTTGGCTTTTGCAATTCATATAGTTATGAGAAATTATGTAAATTTATCTGCACACAGAGCAAGAAGTTTGGAAGAAAATGAACACCAAAATGTTTTCTGTGGTTTTTTTCTGGAAGGTGCATTACAGGCGTCTTTGTTTTGCTCTTCATACATTTCTGTATTTGCAAAGTAAAACGATCCCATATTACTTTCATAATCTAAGAAGAGCAGGAAAGCTATTTTTAAAGGGCTGTGGCAATTGCTCCTTTTATCAGTGGATGGGAGAGCGCTGCTAGTTAATTTTCAAACAGAGAGCAGTGCTGCTTCACGCCACACCCAGATGAAGGGCTCTGGGCAGCACGCTGCCCCCGGCACAGAGGTTTCCTGTTTCTCAGCCCAGGTGCAGAGTTGCCATGATAGCCCTACCAAGACGGGCACAGACACCTCTGGGTGCCCGACCGCAGTGGAGTCTGGCTGCATTTCCAGATTCCGGCCTCGAGACATTCCTGCGGATTGTTACTTCATGAAACACACCGAGTCCCTAGAAGTTCTGGCTTCTGGAGCCCACAGACTACATGGGACCTCGGAAACCATACCTTAAATGCCCACAAGGGAGAGCTGGCAAAGTGTGTGGGTCTATATGCTCTCTCTTGCACATGTGTGGTCTCTCTCTTCCTCCCTCTCTCTCTGTATTGACTTTTTCCATGTAGGTGCTACATGGATCTGAAATAAAGTCGCTCTAATATGAGAAGTCAGTCTACTAGTAAATGAAGCGCATACAGAACCATTAATTCAACGGAGGCAGCAAACATCGATTGGGCGACAGTTGGCAGCCAGGCACTCCTTGGAGACACAGAGGGAGCTCACAGTCTAAAGGGGAAGACATGTGATCACGTTAGAGAGGTGGTGACATTGCAGTTGAGTTTTAGAAGAGGAGTCGGGGTTTATCAGGTGGGAAAGTGGGAGAAAGGCCTTCCAGGCCGAGGGAAGAGTAAGTGCAAAGACATGAGGCACGAATAAGTTTGGATGCTCAGGGAACACAAAGCCCCGGACAGCTCAACGTAAGTGGGTGCTGATGGTCGCCAGTTGGGAGAAGGACTGGGGGGATGAATGAAAAAGGTGAAAGGAATTAAGAAGTAAAAATTGCCAGTTATAAAATCAGTAAAGTACCACTTAGGGGATATAGTCAATATTGTAATAACTATGTATGGTGTCAGAGGGCACTAGACTTACCAGGGTGATCACTTCATAATGTATATAATCACTATGTTGTATACCTGAAACTAAAATAATATTGTATGTCAACTGTAATTTAAAATAAATTTATACAAAACGTAGGTGAGTGTTGAGGGTAGTGACTCCAAAGATGTTAAACTTGGCAGTAATAATTTCTTTAAGTTATATTAATTTTGTCAAGTTATTTTTAAAAATTATTTTAAAATATATTTTTATTGATTTAGAGAGAGAGGAAGGGAGAGGGAGAGAGAGAAACGTCTACTGATTGCCTCCCATACGCACCCCGACCGCAACCTGGGCGTGTGCCCTGATCAGGAATTGAATCCACAACCTTTTGGTTCATGAGACGATACTCAACCAACAAAGCCACACAAGGCCAGGCTCAAGTCATCTGTTTTTCTGTTGGTAATTTACAAATGTCTTACTCAAAGCAACAACCTTCTGGTAATTCTGACCCTAGTACCTGGCCTTCTTCCAGAGGCATGTTCCACTCCTGCCCTCTGCCCCGGACGGTGGAGTGACACTGCTCACAGGGAGCTTGTGTTGGGGTCTCTGCTAGGCACAGGGAGGCTGCAGGTAGAGGCCACCGCCATGTCTACCGACGAGGACCCACTGGCTACAGAAGGGAGACTTACTGGCCACAGAAGAGCTGAGATTTGCCTGAGGTAGAGAACTCCAAGGAAGCATTAGGAGGAAGGCGGAAAGACAAAAGCAAACTCTCCTGACAGCATTTGCGGGAGAGGAACAAAGGAGAGGGGAAGTTTTTAGAGGGGGGTAGTGACTCCAGTGTTGAGGGTAGTGACCTCTTCTAGGAAGGGAGGAATCTGCCTAACAGACAGAAAAGTCCTTTCACCTGCAGGGAGGTAGCTGAAGTGTGGTCGCACAAAAGATTTGGAATTGAGAGCCACTCTGGGCTGAGAGAATTACTACACTGACTCTCAAGTTCAGTGTGAGGTGCAATGAGGTAACATGTGCAAATGTTTCGTAAACTCGAAGTGCCTCAGACCTGTTATCAGAAGCCTCCAGGTTAAAGCTAGTGTATCTTGAAACTTTGTGGGAATAACACAGCCTAAGGCAGCCTTTCCTACAATAGCTCCCTCCTTTCCCCCATGCCTTCATTTCCAATCCCCATTGTGCTTTTTCTCAACTGGTCTCAGGACCTGAAAATAAACTGTTTATTCTCTCTCCCCTGCTAGACAGCCAGCTCCGTGAGAGCAAACTCTGCGGCTCTTGCTCACCACTGTCTCTCCAGGTGCCCAGTGAAGGCCTGATGCATGGGAGGCACTCCATACGAAATAGCTGTTCAATGTCGAGCGCATGCAAATGAACGCAGCACCTGATTCTTCCAGGAGCGGTGCAGCTGGCTCTCGATTTTTGATTTGTTTCAAAGGCAGGTTCCCTGCCCCAACACTGAGGGACTCTGATTTAGCAGAACTGGCTACTGAATTTGCTGTTTTTAACAAGTGCCAGGTGACTCTGTTGCAGGTAGTCACTAAGAAAGTTACTCTGAATCGGACAGATCTTGTCTGGACTCCAGCCTGCCACTCACTAGCCCTATGACTTCACCAAGTAACTTCATAACCTCTCTGAGCTGGTTTCCTTACCTGTAAAGTAGGAATGACCACATCCTCAGGGAGTTATGATAATTAAATCAGGTGATGGATGTGAAGGTTTTGGCATCATGTCAGTTATGCTGTTAGCCGTCATCATTTTTTTTTATTGCCATTCTTGTGTTATTGCTATGCCCTGGCAGAACTTCCTCCCTGGAGGACCACTCACTCTTGGGAATCCTCAAAGTGTGGGCCCAAACCGGCAGCACCACAGCGGCTGGGGGCTGGTGAGAGACGCGGTCCCCGCCCCACGCAGGCCTGGGAATCAGCATCCGCATTCTGACAGGGTCCCCAGGCGACCTGTGCACACATTCAAGTTCGAAAAGCACTGCTGAATGTCACCTGTACCGCGTTCTTCCTGTCTTTAATTTCAGAGCCAGCCCGGGAGGTTCCGAAGCCCCGGCATCCCAGAGGCTGAATCCTCGACCCGGCTCATTCGGCTGCACAGCCAGCTGAGGACCTTAGGAGAAGGGATCCCCTCAGGGAGCTTCAACCAAGCCCACAGCCTCCGAGCAAGTGAGTGTGGAGCAGGGGATGGATCCGAACGCTGGCTTGCTTCCTGCGCCATCCCGGGCCTGTCCCCAGCCAGCAGAACCCGGTATGGAAGGAAGGAGCAGCCCATCGCCCCGGGAGCAGGGCAGAGGCGCCTCCTTTCCCTGGAACCAGGTCCCCAATCCCAGCCTCACGGACCCGGACTGGTTTTGGGATGAGCACATCCAGGCAAAGAGGGCCCGCGTGGAGACCATCATCCGAGGCATGTGCCTCTCCCCTAACCCTCTGGTGCTCGGCGGTGCCCGAGCCAGGGACAGCCCCAGCTGCCCAGAGAAGGCCCGGGAGCGGAAGAGGAAGCAGGACCTTCCCGTGCAGCAACCCCCCCTGAAACCAGGCCCTGCCGGGAGCCAGGGCAGCAGGAAGGGGGGCCCTCGCGTGAGAGAACAGCTTCGCCTGCTGAAGCAACAGCTGAGACGACTGCAGGAGCACATCCTGCAGGCCGAGCCCCGGGACCCCGCGCCCGGCCCCCGGAGTGCCAAGCGGAGGGATGGCTGTGGGCGGCCCGGGGCCATGGACAGCAGGCGCCACCAGGGTTCCAGTGGGGACCTCCCTGGGGTGGAAGGACACAGAGTGGCTGCGGTCGATCTCCAGCCAGAGGAAGTCAGGTTCCTTCCTTCTGGGACACGTGCTTTGCTGGAGACCCTGAGGAAGGAACTGACGGGGGCAGTGTCCCAGGCCGTGGACTCAGTGTTGCAAAAGGTACTGCTGGACCCGCCAGGCCACCTGACTCAGCTGGGCCGAAGCTCCCAGGGGCTGGTGCCAGGGGGCAGAAGCGAGACTTCACCTGAGGGAGGTGCCTGTGAAAAACCCCTCCCGTTGGCTGCCTTGCCCAGGGGGGCCCAGGCCCAGGCCCAGGCTGGGTGCCCACTGGGAAACTCATCACTGGCCAAGCCTCTAGACTCTCCTAGATACCCTGTCTCCCCAAGAATGACCTCCAAACCCTGCCAGGCCCCCCCAGCAAACTGTGCCGTGACCGTGCCTTCCCGCATGCAGGAAAGTCAGATTCTTGGTCAGCTCCTGGGTCATGGACCCCCTGGTCACTGGAGCGGCCATCTCCCCCAGGGCGCATCTTCCCAAAGTCACTCCTCCCCGGAGTCTGGCCTGCGACCTTGGGGAGCTGTCAGACTGAGACCTTCGGTGTTGAGCCAGCAGCACCCCGTGCCCTTGGCTCCCCCCTGTCTGGAGAAGCTGCCCTTTCTTCCCTCCGTGAAGATGGAGCAGGGGGGCCTGCAGGCTGCCGCCGAAGTGCTCCCGTTCCCTTCAGTCCACATATCCTTTACCAGAAGGGGACGTTCCCCCCCGGAGAAGTGAACCCTGGGAGGCGGGGAGGTGGGGACAGAGAACTGCATGGCATGGGGGAGGGGCCCGGGGGGGCTTTGCTTTCTTTTCTTTTTTTAATATATTTTATTGATTTTTTACAGAGAGGAAGGGGGAGGGAGAGAGAGTTAGAAACATCGATGAGAGAGAAACATTGATCAGCTGCCTCCTGCACACCCCCTACTGGGGATGTGCCTGCAACCAAGGTACATGCCCTTAACGGGAATCGAACCCGGGACCCTTCAGTCCGCAGGCCGACACTCTATCTGGTGAGCCAAACCGTTGGGGGCGGCTTTGCTTTCTTGATGGTCTTCTGAACGCTGCTTCTGGGCCTCCTCCCCTGTGGCTCACCGCTATTCGGTTCCCGAGAAAGTGGTGCCCACACTCCGGGGCTTAAGCCTGCTGGGAGGGAAGCTTCATTCTCCCTGGCGCATCAGATTCTAGCACTACTCACTTAACGGCTTTGGGTCTGAAAGGATTTTGTTTTTAACCTCAACTGAGCTTCCAAAATATGGTAAGTTCCCTATGGAAGGAAGAACTCCATACATTGGTTGTCAGCTGCCTACACACTTCAGCAGAAAGGGTCAAAGGAATGACCTCACCTGAGGCTTGGCTCCCCCGGCCTCCTGGCTCTCCAGGCAAAAGGCCTGCATTGTCTAGATCAGTGCTCGCCAACTTTGGGACCTCGCGGACCACCAGTGACCCACGGACCACCGGTTGGCGACCGCTGGTCTAGATAATTCATGAGGAAGATCTGAGGGCCCAGACACTTCTGAGCCAGATGGGGAAGGAGATATTTTCCTTGGGGACTAGGCTGGAGGCAACTGGGAGGGGGGAAGGAGCCCTCGGTGTAAGGAACAGCGTCTCAGCTGCAGCTGAGAGGACTGAAGTGGGGTTGGACATGTGGAGGGAGAGGAGACCCCTGAGGAAGGCTGAGGGGCCAGGCTGGTATCCAGGGGTCTGGACCTTTTGCATCAGCTTTGTGAGCCAAACCGTTGCTCCTCTCTCTCTCTCTTTCTCTCTCTCTCTCTCGCTCTCTTTTTCTCTCTCTCTTCCTGTTCCTCTCCCTCTCCCCCTTCCTCTCCTTAAATATGGAACGCTTCACAAATTTGCGTGTTATCCTTGTGCAGGGGCCACGCTAATCTCTGTGTCATTCTGATTTAAGTATTTGTGCTGCTGAAGAGAGCACTCCTCTCTTAAATAGTGTTTCCCAGAGTAAAGCTCCCTTTGGATATTAACAGTTGCTGACTTAGGGGGAAAAGTAGTTTCAGTAAATACTGGGTTAGTGTCTTTGCTGCGGGACTTCTCAGAGCCTTTAACATGCTGAAGTCCAATGTGAAACTCTAAGAGGAGAAAGTATGCAGTCCCCAAACTCATGTGACCAACAAGTATCTTGTAGGACTGAAGTTCCTGACAACACAATTTGGGGTGTTGCCTTTTTAAAGTGAGCTGAGCTCACGGTGCTGCTTCTCAAGGGCGGCCCTGAGTCGAGTGTCCAGAGGTCAATGTGCCTGCGGTGTGAACAGTCTGGCAAGCTGTAGTAAGGGCGGCAGGATGGGGTGGGACCGGCTCATTGCCACACCAGGGCTGGCTCTTGTGTCCTGAATGCCATGCACGCCCCCTGCTGGTCACAGATGCTGGGAACACCCCAAAGCTGGGCGCTGCTGGGAGCTATCCAGGCAGGCAGTAGCAACAATAAAACCAATGCTAAGAACATGTCACCTGCCACCACTGCCTCTGCAGGCAGCAGGGGACGTTGGAGCTACAGAGATATCAGCATAGATAGACTTTCTTGTTAGGCGATCGCCCTGTGCGAGAAAGGCTACCTGTCTGGTTAAGACTCCCTGTGTAGGTCAGGCAGTGGTGGAAGAAACGCAAGAACTCAGTCCCCAAAGATTCTCTGCTGAGCTTCCCTTGGGAGGGGGATGCTGATCTTTCCCAGCACCTACTGTGCGCCTGCCCTGCCCTGTGAAATGAGGATTGGGCTCAGAGAGCTTCAGGGCCCATGCGCTGGGCCTGGCTGCACAGGTGAGGTACTCTGGAATGCTTTGGAGCCCCCAGGCAGCATCCTGATCCCCTAAATATTCCCACATTCCAGCATTAGAGATTTACTCCCGTGGGTCATAAAAGCCACTTAAGAGCAAGATAACTCTGACCTTTAAAAGAACTTTCACATTCACGACATCCCCCTGAAACAGGTGAAGCAGGTGTGATTAGCAGCTAATAACGAGGAAGCATTTGCTGTGCACTTTCTCTGTGGCAGGCACCCAGCATTTTCCACGTATGAGTCCACTACCGCTGAGCTACATTCCAAAACTCGGAAAGCTCTGAAAATCCCTATGATTTCTTTTTCCTAAGGCTGATGGGAGCTTTGTTTTTGGTAGCAAACCTGGCCTGCACTGATTGGACGTTACTTACAGATCATCCCACTTAGTGTAGAAATCCATGTTGCCGGGGAAATATTAATGTATTGGATTACAGACGGCTGCCACAGCCTCTGCTGTGGGATTAACTAACATATGGTACACAGACCAGATGACCTGCATGAAGGAACAGAATTCTGAAATCTGGCCTCCATCTGGCCAGTGTTTCAGATGAGAGGTTGTGGGCCCCAAGCATTCTAGTGGGCACTACAGTTAGACCCGGTATCTGAGAGTGGGGCAGAAAAGTGAACTTGCCCAAAGTCCCAAGACAGACACGTACAGAGCCAGGACTCAGACCCAGGATCTGACTGCCAAGCTGTCACCACTACATTCTACATCTAGAAATGGCCCAGAGAAGATAAGTGGCTCGCCCAAACTCACACAGCTAGTTGGTGGCAAAATCAGTATCTGAAAATGGGTCTTTGGACGCCCATGTCCAGGATTCTTTCCACAGCACGTGTGAACCTATGAGAAGAATAAGAAGTGCCAATGAGGCAGGGAGCAAGGGGCTTCAGGAAGCAGCCTGAGTGCCAGGCCAGCTAGAACTCTAATCGGTTGGTTTCCTTTGGCTACACCTGTATATACTACTGAAGAGTCTTAAAGCTCTCGCTCCCGGACCCGAGAGCTCCCAGGTCCTCTGTGTAAAGCTTCTCACCCAGTCCTGGGACTGTCCCAGCAATGCTTAGTATTCCTGTGTAAAACACTTCGTTTCCCTCCCTCTCTGGTGCTAGGCAGTCATATCACAGCTCCCTGCTCTTGTTAAAGGGGAAGGAATCTTGTTAAAGGGGAAAGACTGAGGTATGCTTTGGAAGACAGTTTCCCTAGTTGTGCATGGGTTAAGGTTGACCATTTAATCATTCACTCATTCCTTTATCTAACAAACATTTATTGAGCACCTACTATGTTCCTAGCACTGGGCTAGGTACGTGGAATACAAAGATGAAAATATAAGGTCCTTGCCCCCTGAGGAGCTCACAATCTAAACAGGGAGACAAACATGCAGTGAAAATTCTAATAAGGTCATTGCTACAACAGAGGGATGTGCAAAGAGCCTGGGTAGCCCAGGGTAAGGACAGTAAATGGACAAGGAGAGGTTTCCCTGAGGAGGAAGCGGCTGACCTGGGACAGGAAGGAGGAGGGACGTTCTTCCAGGTGGACCGAGAGCAGGTGCAGAGCAGCAGCTCAAGTTCCTTGAGGCAAAGTCAACAGTGATCTGCTGCTGTCTGGTCCAGGGGTGGGCAAACTTTTTGACTCGAGGGCCACACAATGGGTTCTTAAACTGGACCGGAGGGCCGGAACAAAAGCATGGATGGAGTGTTTGTGTGAACTAATATAAATTCAAAGTAAACATCATTACATAAAAGGGTGCGGTCTTTTTTTTCAATAGTTTTATTCATTTCCGGCCCGCGGGCCGTAGTTTGCCCATGGCTGGATTAGACGCTTGTTGGCTTAAACACTGCAAAGGCAATTATGACAGTGAGAATGGGGACCATCGAGTTGACTCTTCTCATTTTACAGATGAGGAAACTGAGGCAGAAGGAAAAGGAAATCTTGGGGTTTTAAAATGACTTATCTGGGAAAGAGCTGCCATCTCTTCCCATCCTATTCTGAAAGCATATGCAAAGTACAACAAACTTATTTACGCCACAGAACTTTTACACGTCAAGATGGTTTTAAATTCTGCAACTGTGCTGTCATATATGGTATTCAGCACTTGGGAAGAAGAAGCTTACTGGTCAGACTTGCCAGAGACACAGAAATGGAGCAAATACATGATTCAACCAAAATAAAAATAAAAACCATAAGGAAGAGGACAACTAATTCACTTTTTGGATAATTTGATGGTATTATTTGATAAACTGGTGTTCATTTTCCTTGACCCGGGGATACATCCAGGAGGGTCTAAATCCTGGTCACTTGAAGAAGGCCAAACTAATGTTTTTCTTCACACGCTACCCCAGCTCCAACCTCCTGAAGGCGTATTTCCCCGACGTCCAGGTAAGTCATCCTACTGAATGTCAGCTTCTCACAACTCAGAGTGGCATTGGGGTCGCCCCGTGTGAGGTGTGAGGCAAGTCCCAGGTCATCATGTGCGCACCTTAGCTCCCCTTAATGTTGGCCGCACAGGTGTGATTTCCAGGTCAGGGATGGACTTGGCTGAATAGTCATGAATAACTTTGAGCTAGGAAAGTTGAGCTTTTGAGCTATAGATATACCCAGAAGCACATGGGGAGGAAGTGGGGGGGGCAGTGAGAAACATTAGTAAATGGGGTCTTTGGCCTAGTGTTCTGTCTTTGCCGAGGACACTGCGAAAAAGACAGAATATACAGAGTCAGACACTGTTGAACTGGCATTCAAATAGCTGCGTTTCAAAGGGAGTGAGGTACATCCAAATCAAGTGTGACAACAAGGAAAATCAAGCTCTGATGGTTGGAACCAGACCTTGTCTGTTCCCTGAGAGCAGCGGTTCTCAACCTGTGGGTCGCGACCCCTTTGGGGGTCGAACGATCCTTTCACAGTGGTCACCTAAGACCATCGGAAAACACATATATAATTACATATTGTTTTTGTGATTAATCACTTTGCTTTAATTATGTTCAATTTGTAACAATGAAATTGGGGGTCACCACAACATGAGGAACTGTATTCAAGGGTCGCGCCATTAGGAAGGTTGAGAACCACTGCCATAGAGTGTCTAAGGGCCTCTGTTCCCTTGAGTGTTGGGTCAGGGCTAATACTTGGTATCTATGTCATTCCTTTGCCTTTCCCATGTCTTTCCCTCATGTTGTTGCTTGGTTGATCCCTACACCAAGCTCTGATTTCCACTCATTCTGCAACTCCAAGTTGCTGATAAACTGCTCTCTGATCTTCACACTCACTCCTTCCCTTGGCCCCTTACCTGGCAGAAGGCTCCAGGGCTGCCATACATTTGGCCCAGACACAGCAGAAGTTGGTACCAAACTGGCCTTGACCCTGGACATTCCCAAAGTCACACAGCAAGCTTTTCATGGGTGAAAAACCTTCATAAATCTAGGACATCAAAAAACATTTTTTTTCTAGTGGGCACTACAGTTAATCCAGATTTTTTCTGTACATGACTGAATAGGCTTAGAAAATAGCCATGGCTGCTGCTACTGCTACTTCTTTTTTTGTTAATCCTCACCCGAGGAGATTTTTCCATTGATTTTTAAATTTTATTATTATTATTATTTTTTTAGGGAGAGTGGAAGAGGGGTTGTTAGATGCTAGTATTTCTCCACTTTTCCAGTTTATTGTAATGATCCTTTCCAAGTAACCTTACAGAAGCTTCTTGGATGGGCTAGTCTCATTATTCTCTCCTGTGGCAAAATCGTCAAACTGCGGCTCGCGAGGCACATGTGTCTCTTTGGCCTCTTGAGTGTGGCCACGAAGTTTCAATCGCACTGTACATGCGCACCCGCATGTGGTATTTTGTGGAAGAGCCACACTCAAGGGGCCAAAGAGCCGCATGTGGCTCGCTAGCCGCAGCTTGCCAACCACAGGGCTAGGGCCATGGCTCTTTTTCAAAGGAGGCCCTTCTCATGTTGGCTGAAGCCATTCTGATCAATCTGCTGTTGAACTGGATGCTGACAGTTCTACCCCTGAGCACCTGGTGGTAAATGGCTGACTGATGGACCTTGTTGCTTGTGCAGTTCAACCGCTGCATCACCTCCCAGATGATCAAGTGGTTCAGCAACTTCCGAGAGTTCTATTACATCCAAATGGAGAAATCTGCCCGGCAGGCAATTTCAGATGGCGTCACAAATCCCAAAATGCTCGTGATTCTCCGCGACTCGGAGCTTTTTCGAGCTCTCAATATGCACTATAACAAGGGAAATGACTTTGAGGTAAGACCATGTACCTGGGGTCCCATGAGGTTGGAGTTTTAGAAAAGATCCCCTTCTGTGTGTCTGTCTTTACATCATTGAGAGCCAGGGCAGCCCGGGCTAACCTCTGTCCCCTCTGCAAAGATTAGAGCCTCCATAGCTTCTCTTAGGCAACAGGTGGATGCTGCAAACTGAATAAGCAGAGGTCTGCCAGGTGT